CATATACATATACATATTTCTATACATACACATACATATACATACATACACACATACACACATGCACATACCCTTCCATCATTGCCCGAATAGAAAACCTGTTTGTGTGCAGTTGTGAGCATGCATGGATCTCTCCAATGAAATGTTTCAAACTGACTGTGGGGGACCACAGACCCGACCCGCAAAGCCGGRAGCCGACATAAGGGAGACCAGCGCCAAAGACCCCGAGAGGGACCCCAAGCACGCAGCCCCAGAGACACCCGCGCTGGAAGGGCCGTCCACCCACCCCCACAAAGAGGAAAAAATAATAATTTTTTTTCTGTGCTTGTGTGAGTAGAAGAAGAGTAACAATGGTCGCTAGCAGAGTTAAGTTTGTGTTACTTTCTCAACATGTAAGAGCAACCCAAACTCCTGCTCTGTCTAAACATCATTTATTCACCATTTTGGATGTTTTTATGCGAGACTGAAGTGTCTGCATGCATGTCGTTTAAATACAGAAATCCCAGTGCCAGCTAGTTGACCTGGCACAGAAACTACAGTGGATTCAACAAACACAGCATCAGWCTGTAAAAATATCCATATATGTTAACGTTTCCAGAGTTCACTCACATGTAAACAGGGCCTAAATTAGAGATGCTGCCGCTCAGTAAGGCTTTTATTAAAGTTAAATGTGTTTGTCTTTGATGCTCCGCAGCACCTGAACAAGACGTACAACACCGATGTCCCTCTGGTCCTCATGAACTCCTTCAACACCGATGAAGACACAGAGAAAATCCTGCAGAAGTACACACACCACCGGGTGAAGATCCACACCTTCAACCAGAGCAGGTGAGACTGGGAGCCAGCTGCAGGACCTCCAACTCCAGCTTATTTTTATGAAAACCAGAGCAGCGCACAGAAAAGGAGCAATGCTTCCACTGTCAGTCAGCAGCAGTGTGGCTCAGTAAATCACAGCTTCTGACTCTGGAGTTGTGAGGAACTGCAGCATCCAGACAGAAACCATCCTGTAACTTCTGGAGCAGGCGGTTCATCATTAACACCACAGTGTCTTCAGTCCGGCAGTCAAGCGGAACTTGCTTTTTACAGTTTCTGATGAATTATTCATGGCTCTCATATGTTCTGTGTGCCCCCGGGAGTGGAGTACAAAGCTTTTTGGGACAGCAGCATGCTGGCTTCAGGATTTATTGTCGTCACAAAGAAACTGGTTGAATAGTTTTAATGTCAATCAACGTGGGAACAAAGAAAAGTCGAGGTCATAACAATATTTTGTAAAAATCCAATTAAAGTCAGCTTCAGTGTAACACTGACTGCTGTTCCAATTAATTTAGGGGAAACGATTAGCTTTAAAGGGCAGGCATAAACTGCTCAGTCACTTCACGTTTTGGCTCAAAGAAACTCCGAGCAACAAAACACATTTAAAGGTCTGGTTAAGCTGTGAACACTGACTTTTTACATTTTTTTTCTTAGAAAACAAATTCTGCAACACTAACGAGTAAAAACAATAACTTTTGTACCAGCTGCTGTAAAGAAAAATTAAACTCAACAAAAAACACAACATAGGTTGACATCTTTTTTTAAGGATCCATAATTTTACCAATTATTTCTTTAAATCACAGCTTTTACTTTTATTTCATGTCATTCAAAATATTAAAATGATACTTTTACTTCTTCACTTTAAAATCTAACAGTTACACACTAGGAGTGTTGAATTGACCAAACCAAGGTACTGTATGTCAGCTGGTTCCACTAACAGTTGAGTAAATTGAGCACTGCTAAATTATTGTTTCAACACTTCATCTCTTAGAGCAGATGTGCCCAAAGTGGGGCCCGCGGGCCAAAATTAGCCCGCTGAGCCATTTGATTTGGCCCACCAGCAGTTGTTCTGGTTATTATATTGTAATTATGTTAAGAATAAATATAAAATACAAGCTACAAGAGACATTTACTGTAGATTAGATTCAAGCCCATATATAGATTTGCACATCTTTTTAAGACCACATATACTCAAATTTTAAATTATGAAAAGTCCCATGAGTCTTTGCTGCCCAAACATACRTTGAATTTTCTCCATGGGCTGAAAAAAATAAACTAAAGAATGTGGACAACCACACTGGCTGCTAGCTTAATCATAAAAAATAAAACGACTTTACTTAGTAAAGTATTAAGCATTTCTTGTATTATTGCATTTGGCCCGCAGACCTCAGATCGATTTTAATTTTGGCCCCCTCAGGGAAAATGTTTGGGCACCCCTGTCTTAGAGTGTGTGTAAAWGTACTTTTACTTTCCTGATTATTGTTAGCAGTTTTATGACTTTTACTGCAGTACTATTCTTATCAGTGAAGTTAATTTTTACCAGTCATTTTCTGGTAAGGTATATTTACTTTTACTTAGTTTTTTTTAAGTACTTTATACCTCCRTCTGTCAATGACTCATTTTTATGTAAATAAGTTTAAGAGCCCAGCTGGCATATGACTGACATTAAACAGTTAAATGTTGAAATGAGATCAGTTTTAGGAAAAACTTTCATTCAACATCAAAACAATGTTGAACACCAAACAGTTGAAATGTTTAGTTTATCAAACAGTTTTGAGTTGTGTGTTTTAATCATTATTTTTCACAAACACGACTAAAAYATTTTGCTGAAATATGTYAGTTGGAAAAACATCCTTGTTCAAAYRTCCWATCAGTGCTGATTAATTAACTGTTRAAKAAGAGTTGACACATGATTTATGATGCAAAGTTAAAAGCTAAACTCTGAACCTGATGTTTGAGTTCATGCTATCTTCATCCACCGGCGTTCTTTGGGGTAGTACAATCCGCACCGTCAGCTCGTTTGCACATCCATTAATAGAAATACTGTCAGGGTGGCTGTTTGTTTTTAGCTCTGACATTTCAGTCTTTTGTCACCTGCAGTGCTTYATRGAAAAGGTAACGTTTGCAACACATGTAGATAAAACAGAGATGAGATCATTATAACATTGTCTAGAAATTAGGTCTGTTTAGGTCATATAAATAAACATGTACACAATATAAATCTGTTTTTTATTAATCAGAATGTATGAAAACCTTAAAATACTTTACAGATTATAATTTAGCGCACCTTTTAAGTATGGAAATAATTATTTCCAGTATTTTTTTCCTAAATTGAGCACATTAACCTGTAATCCAAAAGTATATCTCTTAGTGCTTTATTTATTTATTTATTTATTTATTTATTTATTTATTTAGCCAGGCAAGTCCCATTGAGATCTCAGATCTCTTTTTCAAAACAGTCCTATTGTACATGTTTTTGGGGGTGGGGCAAACCGGAGTACCCGGAGAAAACCCATGCTAGCACGAGGAGAACATGCAAACTCTGCGCAGAAAGACCTCCAGGTCCGATCCGGGGATCGAACCCAGGACCTTGTTGCTGTGAGGCGTCGGTGCTAACCACTGAACCATCGTGCTGCCATGAGCAAATGAGCTTCAGGACACATTGCGCAGTGGCTTCAGTCCATACATATCTGTATGGAAGTTGCTTCTACATGGTGAGATTAAAAACATCAGTTGGAAAACTTGTAAACTTGGTTCCAATGCACACCAAAGATTGTACAATCAAATATTTTATTTCTGGTGTTTTGCACCGTGTTTCAGGATGATGCTCTGCAAACCGTCAAGACTTGTGCTTTCGTTTAGTATTTACTCTGTATTTTGTTCTGTTTTGTGTATTTCTGGTCAGTCTGTTGAGTTTCRGCTTTGTTCCTGCTTCTGTTCCTGCCTCACCCACCTGCACCTGGTCTGGTTGTCCCTGCACAGTTGTCAGTGGTTTCAGTTGGTGCTTTGGTCCATTGATCTGGCTTTATTTTGTCTTCTGTCGACAGTAGCTCTGCTCTGAGGTTTGGTTTTTGATGTCTGCTGCCACGACGGCATTTTGTTTTATTATTAAATTCTCCTTGCCTCTGTCTGCACCCTGGGTCTGACCTTAAAATATAATCCRCCAAACGTGACACAAACATATTAATGTACCAATTTCAAAACGTCTGCTGTGCAGCAGTTCAACACATCAACACTTAGACTACAACAGTGATCAAAATAATATATTTGTGTCAGACTATGCTAAAAGGCAGGACTTGATAGAATTTTTTAAATTTCTATCATGATTACGTTAAAAAAATGTATACTAAAATCAGTGTTGATTTAATGTTGGCAAATTCACCTATGTTGAGAAATATGAACTGGAAATGACATTGAAGTCATTTCAACACTGATTGGCAAAATCTGAATAARAATCAATATTGACTAAATGTTGATAAATTCCCCTGTGTTAAGGATGACGTACAAATGGCGTTGCTATTTCAACATTGATTAGATTTTCAAAATCTAGTCACAGTTCAACAGCGATCCAACACAACCACCTGACGTAGATTCAGCAGTGACTAGACGTCAAATAATATTTGGTTTGAGTTTATTTGGGACATTTCCCTAGTAAATACTCCAGAAAAAAAGAGGGGAGAGGGATTTTAAGAAAATGAAAAATAAAAACMCTAAAAGATTGTGCTCAAGAACTGGAGAAAGGAAACGCCTGATGAGCAAAATATTCACATTTTGAAATATTTTCACCAAATGAAAGATTAATAATTTGTCCTCTTTTGAGGCCTTAAACATTGAATATAAATCACAATCAGACAGTTTTAACAAATGAAATAAGAGTTGGTGCTTTTCATCAGGAGAWCTAATGAAAACCCCAAGTGAGTTATAATTAAAAACAGAAGTAAAAACCTTTTCAAAATATATTCAATTGAATTCACTGCAAAGACAACATATTTAATGTTCACAAGAATAAACTTGTTTGCCTTTTTTTTTTGCAAATATTCACTCATGTTGAATTTGATGGCTGCAACATGTTCCAAAAAAAGCTGGTTTAGAGACATATTTACTGCTGTGTTRCATCACCTTTACCTTTAACACTCAGTAAGAGTTTGAGGAGTGAGCTTTGTAGGTGGAGTTCTTTCCCATTTGTTCTTAACGTACAGCTTGGGTCGCTCAACAGTCCGGGGGTCTCCGTTGTCGTATTTTGCGCTCCATAAAGCTCCACACATTTTCAGTGAGGGACAGATCTGGACTGCAGGCAGGCCAGTTCAGCTCCTGAACYACGAACCCAACACTGTTGTTGAGGCTCGGCATTGTCCTCCTTTTGCTTTCCTCACCGTCCCAACTTCACTGGGTCTGGGGTCGTAGAATACAGCCCTCGTTAATACACCTGTTCATTCCCACAAATAAAACTGTGAGACAGGTCTGYGTGTTAAAAACATGTAAAATGTTGATGGTGGGAGTTTTCTGTCTTTGTACTCTGGAGTTAATCGGACACATCAGTGTTCTGAGAGCTCGTGCCCACATGATCATCAGAAACATTTTCTCAGGACTGGAAGATTTCTCTGGAATTTATCCTTCTTTTTAAAAAAACTGATAATTTCTCCTCTCGGCAGCTCTTCTCCTCTGCCTCTGACTTCTAAAAGTCCTGTCATTTCCCACTCAGTGCAGCTGCCCGTGATGGTTTTAGTTAACGTGACCCGACGTCAGTTTAATTCACCCTGCGATGATGATGACTCAGGAGGATCTTGGCTTTCTGTCTCATCTGCCATCTGAGTAAAATCTAAAGTTTTGAGGTTGAAGTCAAAGCAAATACATGAAGCAGGAAGTTCCTAAAACTCTGGGGCTACTTTGTTTTTTCCAAATCGGCAAGCAAATGTATGCAAGCGTAAATGTTTGAAAGTGATGTTCTACCTTATTTAACTCCTTGTGCAGCTTCTCTGTTTTTGAATTTAAAGTTGTCTGATTTTAATGAGGTTTTGAGGCAGTTTAAGCTCAAATGTCAGGATTATTCTTGTTTCATAATGAAAGAAAAAGCCTTCTCTAGCTGTGTTGGAGGATGAATGTATTTCAATGCGACTCTATCATTTCCCCAGGTACCCTCGCATAAACAAAGAGTCCCTCCTTCCTGTAGCCAAGAGCCTGAGCATGAGTGGGCAGAACGCTGATGGCTGGTACCCCCCCGGCCACGGCGACATCTACGCCAGCTTCTACAACTCRGGTCTGTTGGACCAGCTGATCGCTCAGGGCAAGGAGTACATCTTTGTGTCCAACATCGACAACCTGGGCGCCACCGTGGACCTGCACATCCTGCAGCACCTGGTCAGCCAGCCCAACGGCAAACGCTGCGAGTTCGTCATGGAGGTGACGGATAAGACGCGAGCTGACGTGAAGGTACGCGGCAGGGCGCACACGCGATGACCTCGCCACTCGTTTTGTGCAGTCGGCGCTCTTAAACGCTGGTGTTTTCCAGGGAGGCACGCTGATCCAGTATGAGGGGAAGCTGCGTCTGCTCGAGATCGCCCAGGTTCCCAAAACCCACGTGGACGAGTTCAAATCGGTGTCGAAGTTCAAGATCTTCAACACCAACAACCTGTGGATCTCTCTGCCTGCCATCAAGAGGCTGCAGGAGCAGAACGCCATGGACATGGAGATCATCGTCAACCCCAAGGTCAGTGAGGAGGTCAGACAGTTTATTTCTGTTTCTGTTAGTTGATCTGGCTCTGCTGGAGCAGGAGGCCGCTTCCAACCCCCGGCATGAAAGGCCTGCAAAGAAGGTTGGGCTTATTTATATATGCAATAAAAATAAATGCTGATTTAGCAGCGCACAACCGTTCTTTTCATAACGGCTGGTTTTAGAGGACGGAGAGAAACCTCTCTCCCTCTGCTGGGTTTGTTTTTCCAAATTTCCTGTACAACTTTGTGACATAAAATTAGACAATAAATGACTCTTTGCTGCACRTCATCATTAAATAATACGGCCTCCACTACCTCACCCATGAGCTCACTGTAGTGCACATAAGACTTACAAACATGCTTGACTTACTGGTTTAATAAATATTCTGAGTGTGCTGTTTGACTTGTTTTTGCAAATCAGTGAGTGTGTCTAAAGAAAACACAGTTTGTCATGTATTTGTTTCATAAACTCTTTAYTTTATGATTATTTTATGAGAGGATTTGAAGTTGGGAGAAAATAACTTGATAATCCTCTGAGGGAATGTTCTGCCATAAAAACCTTCATCAAATGAGTCACTCGTTAAATAAGTCAAGGTTTGAGTTTTTGATTTGGCTCTGACTTCAGGCACTGAAATATTTCATCTCCAGAAATTTGTTCTTTCACTGTGAATAAGAAAAATTTAATTAAAACTAAAAATAATCAGTTTGCTGTAAATTGACATGAGTGAAATGTTGCTGTGATCGCCTCCTCAGTTCATTTTTATTGTTGTCTTATGAGACCTTTCACATTAAACTGAGGATTAAGTTACATTTGGTGAAAATGCATATTGTTATATTTCTGCTTTTTATATATGATTTGTTTTCCTAATCAGGATAAATCAGTGATATTTGGTCTGAATCCTATTTTTAGGTTATTCWAAGGATGAATTTTGGACATTTTAGAAAAGAAACTTCAAACTATTTTTGAATATTAAATTTTCTCATCTGTAAAGGGAAAAAACGTTTTGCTAGCTCACAGAGAAACTGTCAAAAATTGAAGGCTTTTCTCCTCAAAATCATGTTTTGTAGCTACTGCTCAAAAAAGGCTTCAAAAATTTTTTAAGATTATGTTTCATTTAAACAACCCATAGATAAAGTATTTATTCATTATATTTAGACAAAATGCAAACCTTTTATTCAGTGCATTAAAGCAGCCTATTTCTCCACAGACCACTTTGGGRCTTAATCCTCTGTTCTGTGACAGACACACAAACATTTAAAGCACTTTGTTTTATCCATCAGCTTTACAAATCCCTTATTGATTTCTTGTTTATAGTTTCTTCCATWCATTTTTGTTTTGCAGTCAAACACTTTGTGTATCTCTCAGAATGGTCACCAGGAGTACGCTGTGTTTTAGTGTTGTAGCGTTTATAGTTTTTGAATTTAACTATATTTATGATTTTCTCTATTGAAATAATCTGATATCTCTAATTCTTCAAAAAAACATTCTCTAATTTAATAGAGCATACTTCCTTTGTTCTTGTCTTTGTTCCTTTTGATTTTTAGCTACTGTTTGAAAACTTTAGCTTTGAAGTTTGAGCTATTGCTTTTCTACATTTGAGCTTGTAGAGGCTTTTTTATGGGATAAATCTTGTGCCAGCAGGAATTGAATTTGAATTATTCAGATTGAATCTGAATGTGCATAACTTGAAATTG